ATAAGGGAGGGGGTGATGGGGGAGGAGAGGATCGGGGGAAGGGGGTGATGGGGTCAGGGGGTGATGATGGGGGAGATGATGATCGGGGGGAGGGTGATGATGGGGGAGGACGATGATGAGGGAAGGGGGATAATGGGGGAGCATTGGTCATGGTGAGCGGGTGGAGTAAGTATGGGAGGGTAGGGAGGGTGAGGTGAAGGAGAAAGGGGGGATGAAGGTTAAGGCTGTCACTGCAGAAGCAAGAACTGTCAGGCTGTAAGCCGAGCCGGACAGACTCTCGCTCTCTTACAGGTCGAGCAGTGAGAAGCGGAAAGCAGCATCCATCCCTCAGCAGGCAGCTCCTCAGTCACAATAACAACACACCCGGGGCAGTATGGGAACGGTGCCCGCGGCACTGTGGGAACTGTAGTCCAGGGGCATTGTGGGAATTGTAGTCCTAGGTGTCGCCCCGTACGATGTGGTTCCCTGATGGCTCATGGGAGATGTAGGCCGGGGAATGTGGGAAACGTAGTCCACAGAGCCCTGCCCATCACTTCTGGGTTTCTGGTGCTGATGAAGAGTTTCGGCCCGAAACATTGACTTCCCTGCATCCTGGATGCTGTCTGACCTGCTGTGCTTTCCCAGCTCCACATTTATTGACTGTAGCTTCCAGCATCTGCAGTTCTTTACTATCTCCACTTCTGGGTGCTGTAAGTTAGGGATGCTCACCTTTTCGTAATGACAGGCCGCGTAGACCAAAGCATCACCTTACACTGGCACGATACACATTTTGGAAAGTTCAATATAATGGTGAAAACTGCAAAGGTATTCGTTAGTTTATAATGTTTATAGGGTGGTACAGTGGCTAGTACTGCTGCCTCACAGCGCCAGGAACCTGGGTTCAATTTCACCCTTGGAAATTTGGTTTTGGTTACCTCCGGGTGCCCTAGCTCCCTCCCCTAGTCCAAAGATATGTGCATTTAGGTGGACTGGCCATGCTAAATTGCCGATAGTGTCCAGGGATGTGCAGGCTTAGTGGATTGGCCATGGGAAAGGCAGAGTTACAGAGATCGGTCTGGGTGGGATGCTCTTTAGAAATTCAGTGTGGACTCAAAGGGCCAAATGGCCTGCTTCCACACTGTAGGAATTCTATGAATTTTAATTCAATTTCATTATTAGATTTGGAGAAACTGGGGGGAGCCGTGGGATTGCTAAATGTCTAAGATATCAGGTTGAGGCCGGTGGTGAGGTTCTGTAGAATTGAATGGTCTGCAACGTCTGAATTGGACTGATGTACATGTATGTTCATCAGACTACTCAGAGCTGCAGTCTTCACGGGCTATGGAGGAAGATAGAGATGCCTGTGTTGGACTGGGTGGACAAAGTCAAAAGTCACATGACACGATGTTATAGTTCAACACATTTACTTGAAATTGCAAGCTTTCAGGTCAAATGAAGACCTCATGGGGAGGCAATGGCATAGTGGTATTATCGCTGGATTGTTAATCCAGAGACCCAGGTAATGTTCTGGGGACCCGGGTTCAAATCGAACCACGGAATTCAATTCAATAAATATCTGGAATTAAGAGTCTAATAATGACCATGAATCCATCGCCGATTGTTGGAAAAACCCATCTGATTTACTAATGTCCTTGACAGAAGGAAACTTCCACCCTTACCTGGTCTGGCCTGGCCTACATGTGACTTCAGACCCATAGCAATGTGGTTGACTCATAATTGCCTCTGGGCAATTAGGGATGGGCAATAAATGCTGGCGTAGCCAGTGACACCCTCATCCTGCAAATGAATAAAAAAAACTGGTGTTGTGTGACTTCTGATTTCATATTGAATGGCGCAGCAAGGCTTGAAGTCTAAGCAGCTATAGATACATGCAGAGATAACAAGGTGTAGAGCTGGACGAACACAGCAGGCCAAGCAGCATCATAGGAGCAGGAAAGCTGACGTTTCGGGCCTAGACCCTTCTTCAGACCCAGCTCTACACCTTGTTATCTCAGATTCTCCAGCATCTGCAGTTCCTACTATCTCTATAGATACATGCAGTTCACTCACAGTCTAGAGGTCTCTCAGGCCAGTTTCCTTCCTCAAAACTACCATTTCACGAACAGATGGCAAACAACTTTTGCTTTTATTGCAAATACTGTTGCAAAATGTAAGTTCCCTGATCAGCAGCCTCCCAGTCAGTTGGTCCAATACAAACAGAATGGTCAAAAAAAAGTCTGTGTAGCTTAGTCCTACTGAAAGCAGGTTATTATGAGGTTTTCACCGCCTCTCTGGCTCATTGGGCCATAGCCCTGTTATCAGTGAGGATTCTCTTGGGTCTGGCCATGTTCATGTGTTATTTATCACAGGACTGTCCCAGTACCGTTCATCCTGCTGCATGGTCACGCATGTCTGCAACTATCATTTCATCTACTGCCATCATCTAGCCACCAGCATCTCACCCACTGGCAGCACCCCATTGATTGGCAGCACCATACGCACTGGCAACAATTCACCTACTGGCAGTTTCTCCACCAGTGGCAGAACCCTACCCATTGGCAACACTCGTCCATCATTAACATCCCATTCATTGACAGCACCCATTGATAGAAGTACCCTGAAGAGCTTATTTGAGGCAGAGAAAGTCTAAGCTAAGTTGTGTGATTAATGAAGGCAGAAGCTACCAAAATCTCAAAAATTAAAGGAACAGATAAATCATACGTATAGATGTGATAGAGAAGGGATTCTGTTTGGTGTTTGAGTACTGATGGTGATGGAATAGATACATGACACTTTTTTACTGCATTTTGAAATTTTTCAAATTATGTGATATGAAAATGCTTAGGTTTATCCTATATTATTTTAAATTTCTTTCACATAATAAATTTATGTTCTATTATTAAAACCAAACAGGCAGCATTATGTAGTTACGTTCATTGAAAGACCACCTCGTTAAAATTTTTTTTTTAAATCTAGCAAGTCATATTTCGGTCTGGGATTTGTCTAGTTCAATAATAACATCAGCAGGGATTATAACAAAACGCATACAGCAATCACTTCAATAACTGCTCTGAATGTGACTCTAGCGGAAGGTCCTGGAATGTTGAACTGTTGCGAACAGATCCAGACACACATGGAGGTCCAGCACAAGACAGTAGATATTCACTCACTTTATGCTGACAACAGCCTGTATTTATTTTTGTGTATCCCAATGAGAATCACAGGCTGCTGGGCTGAGATTTAGAGTTTTCACCCATTTATCCCATAAACAGTAGTTTTGTATTTTCTCTGAATATCAGAAGAACCAATCTGTACATTAAGCAGAGACTTTTCTGTCAACTCTACATCAGTACAGTGATACCAACCATCAGATGGTAGTGTGAGATTACGTCCTACCTCATGAGAGTTAATCCCTGCTCTTTGTGAAAAATGAAATGGTATGTTGGTCAAAGAAATCTTATTGAAGGATGCCCCGAGATTTATTTGGATGCAACTCGGGCATAAGCCCCCCTCAGGTTTGTAAAAGATCTGATTCTTCCTCGGACTCAGTGGCTGAGGAGAGGATGGCGCTGCTGGATATAGAGTAGGAGACAGGGACTGAAGACAATGGCTTTGGTCTTCCCAACATTTAAGTGAAGAAGATAGTGGGTCCTTCAAGACAGTGTGTTTGACAAGCAGACTGTTGTCAGCATAAACTGAGTGTCTAACATGTCAAGCATGTCCACCAGGGTCTACCACACTCCTGGGCAGTGCATTCCAGATCTCAACCACTCACTGCATGAAAATGTTTTTCTCATGGTGCTTTTGCCAATTATTTTAAATCTCTGTCCTCCTATTCTTGATCCTTTCTGTCATGTACCACATTAAGCTTCTGATGGCACTTGAAATTAAACTTGATAAGCAGGTTACAGATTATAATCTTGCCAACAATGTGCCATAGAAACAGCGAACGATTATAAACAGAAGACAGTTTGTCCATTAAGTCCTTGCCAGCTCCCTGCAAGATCCTCAGCCTTGTCCTTTCACCATATACATTGTCCTTTAATTCTCATCAAATCCCTTTTCAAAAGCCACAACTTGAACCTGTCTTCATTGCATCCAAATCCTAACTGCTCACCTCAAAAGCTTAAAAAATTCACAACATTTATTTAAAAAAAAACCTCAATGGCGCAGATATCTTCTCCCTATTTATTTCCTGCATATATTCATCTTCATACCTGCAATTGAAATTTTCAGTTAAATGGGAATGACTATTACGTGCTGAAGTTCTCCTCCCACTCCATTAACCTTCAAACTGTCCCATTCAACCTGGAATCAAACAAGAGATGGCACAATTTCATATCAGTACTTCCCAAAAGAAGGTCTGATCTTTTTCAACCTGCTGTGCTTAATCTTGTCGTAGGTCTAACACAACTAGTTTTGCTCATATTCAAATCATTGTTTCACAACAGAAGTACATCATGAAGACTGTTTTTATTCTAGCCTAGCATTGGTTACTAATTATCTTTACAATAACACAAACAATTTTGTTGATCGATCTTTAATATGTATGAATGACCCTTTCTTTCAGTGGGTAGGCTTGTCCCAGTGCTACCTCCGGTTGCCGTTTCTCAGAGGCAGTGCGAGTCCTCTAATAGAAAATCCTCTCAGCTCACCCTCGATTCTTGAGCAGAGTGACCATTTCCTCTCGCCGGTGGAAAACACGATGGTGGTGTTTCGCTGGACTGCAAGGTTTACACAGATTCTCACTTTGCATACTCAAGATACTCAGAGATTTCTTTGAAAGTGAGCAGAACATTGAAAGTATTCAAGAGTGTCTCACAGTGATTGCAGTAGCAAAAAAAAATGGTAAACGCATTCAAAATTTCTGGTGTCAGCTGGAGGACGTTGTCTTCTCTGTCGGTTTCTGCTGGAGATTTCACAGGCACCATGCCACATCATATCCACTAGTCCGGTTTGTAGATGTGGCGACTGGGCTTTCTAGCCGTTTCCTCAGTGACCTGTAACTATCGGGAACAAATGGAATAAGATTGTTACATGCAATAAGTAGTGTACATGCACAATTTACAAACAAACTTGATCCCTTTCTATAATCAAACATGTTATGTGTTTACTAACATCTCAGTCTGTGTGACCACTCAAGACATCTGTGCTCCTTAAACTCTGGCCTCTTGCAAATTCCAGGATTTAATCATTGCATCAATGGTAACCATGCCTTCACATGAACAGGCCTGGAATTTCCTCACAAACCTCTCTATGTGTTATATGTTCTAATACAGAGCAATTAAACTTCAATGTAGAAATGTATGGTTTGTATACTTTTGGCAGAAAGAATAAATCAGTCATACTGTCTTCAGGAAATAGAGGATCAAAAGGATTCCAGGGTACTGATATCCAAATCACT